TTCTCTGCTGATCTGCCTCGGGGTGAAAAGGCAGGAGGTTTCCCATTCTGTTCCGAGATTTCCTCTCGACCAGTTCGGTGCCGACCATGCCTTTCTGGGCATCTCTCTGGGATTTGAAAGGGAGACCGAGCTAGAGGTTGAATTTTGGGGGTCGTGCCCAATTACCCAAGGCCTGGCCCCCGGAGTGGAGGAACCCTGGGGCGCCTTGGTTTGCCAGTCTCCTCCTGGACGGCAAGTCCTGGGCAGATCACGGAAGCGGGGTGGCTAGAGGGAGCAGATCAATATTTCTTAAAAGGCAACCGGAAAACTCAAGGGCCCTGGGCCACCGTGAATTTAAAAGAACAATTTCAGTTCCAAAACAGTGCCCACTCAAGTTGCGTTTGTTATTTTGGATGCTGAAGTCAATCCAGTTATCTGATGCTAATCAATCGTAAAGAATGGGGTATTGAGCACTGATCATCTGGGGTAAGGCACAATTGAAAACACACTGATGTCTCCTGTTTGTTGCAGCCATGGCTCTAAAAGGACAAGAGGATTACATCTATCTTTTTAAGGATTCATCACATCCAGTGGATGTTCTGGATGCCTTCAGAACGTTTTACTTGGATGGATTATTTACTGATATTACCCTTCAGTGCCCTTCAGGCATAATCTTCCATTGTCACCGCGCTGTTTTAGCTGCTTGCAGCAACTACTTTAAGGCAATGTTTACAGCTGACATGAAAGAAAAATTCAAAAGTAAAATAAAACTCTCTGGCATCCACCATGACATTCTGGAAGGCCTTGTAAATTATGCGTACACCTCCCAAATTGAAATAACGAAGAGAAATGTTCAGAGCCTGCTGGAAGCGGCGGATCTGTTGCAGTTCCTCTCAGTAAAGAAGGCTTGCGAGCAGTTCTTGGTAAGGCACCTGGATATTGATAATTGTATTGGAATGCACTCCTTTGCAGAATTCCATGTGTGCCCAGAACTAGAGAAGGAATCACGAAGAATTCTGTGTTCGAGGTTTAAGGACGTATGGCAACAGGAGGAATTTCTGGAAATCAGCCTTGAGAAGTTTCTTTTTATCTTGTCCAGAAAGAATCTCAGTGTGTGGAAAGAAGAAGCGATCATAGAGCCCGTTATTAAATGGACTGCCCATGATGTAGAAAACCGAATAGAGTGTCTATATAATCTACTAAGCTATATCAATATAGATATAGATCCGGTGTACCTAAAAACAGCTCTAGGCCTTCAAAGGAGCTGCCTCCTAACGGAAAATAAAATCCGGTCTCTCATATACAATGCTCTGAATCCTATGCATAAAGAGATTTCCCAGAGGCCCACGGCCACCATGTATATCATAGGAGGCTATTACTGGCATCCTCTGTCAGAGGTTCACATATGGGACCCACTGACAAATGTTTGGATTCAGGGAGCAGAAATACCAGACTATACTAGGGAGAGCTATGGTGTTACCTGCTTGGGACCCAACATTTATGTCACTGGGGGATACAGGACGGATAACATAGAAGCTCTAGACACAGTGTGGATCTATAACAGTGAAAGCGACGAGTGGACAGAAGGTTTGCCAATGCTCAATGCCAGGTATTACCACTGTGCAGTCACCCTGGGCGGCTGTGTTTATGCTTTAGGCGGTTACCGAAAAGGGGCCCCAGCAGAAGAGGCCGAGTTCTATGATCCGTTAAAGGAGAAATGGATTCCTATTGCAAACATGATTAAAGGTAAGTGCAGGCTATATTTATTCTGTGTTTTTCACATGCTCGGGGTCAGGCTACACGTTTCACTTTTCCTGCAATAATCTGAAAAAAGAATTTACCCTTCTGGAATTCCTAGTAGGAATCACAGAGAATCCCTGGTGGCATAATGGGTTACACGTTGGACTGCTAACCGCAAGGTCAGCAGTTCGAAGTCACCAACTGCTCTACCACATCCTATAGGGTCACAATGAGTCAGAATTGGCACTGTGTTTTGAGCCAAGAGCCATGTGGCCAAGTCAAGCGATGTTGCACAGTGCCCTAATAAAAGTAGCATCGTGAATCCCCCAGCTTTTCGGAGCATTACCTGACTGGAAGCCAGCACTAGGGCTAGGAAGAAATCTCATTCACAGGAAAAGAAAAATACATAGGGGCTCAGGTGGAAGGCGGGTGTTGTGAGAATGATGAAGTCAACATATGTACTAACGTGCTGGACACAAATGACGTATGTACAGATTGTGATGAGTTGTATGAGCCCCTAATAAAATGA